ACAAGAAAGTTAGACAATAAATTTTGGTTTTATTCTATATTGACAAATTAAACGACGTTGATGATGAAGAATTGCTTCCAATTGAAATATATAGTCGTTTTAATGGCCTTGAATATTTCTCAGCCAGCTTTTTTTCAAATCCATACCATGAATCAATAATAAAATATGATTTCTGAAAAAAATTTATAGGATCAACCTTATAAAGAGTGGTATTTCTAAGAAACAACATCTTCGTCTTATTTGATGGTATTAAAGACGGATAATAGCTCAAAGGATATATACTTTTTTAATGGAGGTGAATTAGAACCTTGATGCCATCATTGATGGAGTACATGAAGTTGGGTGGTAATCTTGTTTCTTCCAATCAATCTTTCGAAACAATTAAAGTTGTTTGCAATAGAATTGCTTCATTAGATGAATTAGTATCGAATGCAGTGGCCCGAGCACAATTTAAGGGTGGCAAAACTCTTCTACCTTCACCAGATAATGACAAGAACATTATGATCAATGAAGAGGCCGTTCTTGAAGATCTAACGAAGAAACTACCTTAAGCAAGGGACATGATTGTAATGTCTTGTCACATGAGAAATATTTTTGCATAACTCAGCGTATTTGAAGCTTTTTTTTTTATATCAAAAGATCTGTGAAATTTTTAATTAAAGCTTTTAAAGATTCAAATAAACTTAAAGTATACTTCCTTGAGCGATGCATGATTATAGGTTTGCATATTTGGACACTCCAACCATCATATTGTTTGTGGAGAATCGTTTGCTTAGAATATTAAAATGTAATCACCCATTATTTATTACAGCCGAGTGATGATGTCATGATAACTTAAATCTTTATTGATCCAGGATTTACAGTAAGTCTTATGAGTTTACGACTGCTAAGGTGGTTATCTTTTGATATCTAACAACTTGTTGAGATAAAACAATGGTGAATGTGTTCAGTGGGAAGGGCACGCGACCATGTGATCTTTTATACTGCCCTTTAGATTTGGAAAGTCTTTTAGAGAAGTTAAATTTTATGTAGTTCATGCTGATATTTTGTTTCAAACTCTCTTGGGTCGACCATGTTTCAATGAATATGGCATAGTTCCATCTACTTTGCATTAATATATGAAATTTTTGAAGGATGGAGAATAATTTAGGATCTTAAGAGATATACAACCTTTCAAAACCTTGAGGTGCAAATTTATGAGGATTACAAGTACTTTCAGTCCATAGAAGTGAAAGTCAACACAATCTTGCAAAATTGCACTTTCAAATTTACAAAGCATAGAGAAACCCATAAAGGAGACTAATAAGTAGGAAAGAGGAGAGTAGAAGGATGAATCGACTTCTTATAAAGCAATTAATGTTCCCATTTAAGCTGAACAGAACTATCCTTATTTAGGAAGTGATATAAAAGAAGATGATACTTCTATTAAGTCAAAAAAAAAGTGTAAACTAAGGAAAAGAACAAAGAAGATTATTCTGACTCAGATTATGACTTCAAATCTTTTTAAAAAAGTAATTTAAGGCTCTTATATCTATTTAGGGAGAATAGCCAACATAACAAACACAAAAAATGCATTAATAATTACAATTTTCCCTCATCAACATTTTAAAGAGGTTACTCCTTGTAAGGTCCATAATCTCAAAGAGTTGAAAATATTTTACGTACCTCATATACCTGAATGTAGTGGAGCAAGAATTTTTTTTTATTTTAAATTCACGGGTGCCAAGAGTTGAATTTTGATCGGCTTGTGCTTACATTGATTTCCAATTTTAATTCATAGTTATTTAGAGATCGATGCAAAAGCTAAGAATTTATGCCAAGATCGCTAAATGTGAACTGGATATTTTCAAAGGATATGAAGTTAAAAAGTTCAAATGTATCACTTAGAAGTAACAATAATATCTTTGAAGTCTAGGGTTGTAAACGAGCTTAGTTTGAACGAGCTCAGGGTTTTCAACTCCTACAAAATTAATTATGTTCGAAAATGGCTTATGTTTGAAATTATTCGTAAACACTGTGTTTGTGTTCGACTCGGTTTGCATATTATTGTTTGTGTTTGACTCGTGTTTGGCTGGATTTGCATATTCTTGTTCTTGTTCGGCTTGTGATTGGCTCATACTTTGCTCGAAATTTGCTTTGTTTAAATTAATTAGAAAAATAAATGTATGGTGTTTTATTCAAACCTATACCATTCATATGCAATAAAAAGTACAAAATCATATAATCACACAAGCTGTAGTGATTTAAACTTAGATATAAATATATTTAATTTATTATTAAATAAATAATGCATATAATTTTTTTATTTCAAGCTAAAGCAAGCGAAACACAATCAGACCAAGGGTTGTTTGTGTTTGACTCATTTATAATTCGAACTTTAAAAAAAACGTTTGTTTTAAGTTTGCTTAACGAATGATTCAAGCATGAGCTATTTAACAAGCTGAAGACGAGCTGTTCACGAATAGTGAACTTTTTTGACAGCCCTACTGAAGTCCTCAAATTTACATGATGTAAATATTCTCTGAGATAGGTTTGTTATGCAGAAATAAAGATAGATTGAAATTAAAGATTCAAAGAATGTTTTTACAAAGTCAACCTATCATTTAGTGTAGAAGTCAAGCAAACATTTGAAGATATTAAAGATGGTGGGCAGAATGCTTGAATGAATGAATTGAAATAGATCACTATTATGCCTAGATATTTGCTGAGATGCTCGATTTATCCTCTGATGTGATAGTCTAAAAATTTGCTATTAATGCAAATGCAATGCCCATTGAACAAGCTCCAGTGCATATTAGGCTTAAGATTGAAGTGCACGTGATGGCAGAAATAAAAAAATCTTTTTGAAGCATTCGAGAGAAGAAATTTTCTCATTGGATCACAAATATTGTATTAAAAAAAAAAGGAAAATGTAAATTTTGAGATCTTGATATAGCATGTTTAAAAGATGACTTTTTGTTCCCTATACCAGAATTGCTACTTGATAACACCTTATACTGCAATATTTTTTTCATTTATGGACGATTGGGATACAAATAAATTGTTATTGTTCTCAAAGATTGAAAATATACATTATTCAGTATGCATGTTATGCTATCATGCTTTTCAATTTAAAAAATACTAGGGATAAGCTATGACTCATACTTTTGATGATCTAATCTACCTAGAAGGTACAATGCCATGGTTTTTATCTCTTTGTAAAAGGAAAGATTGTAAAGGCTATTTTGTGCTATGAGGAGAGAATTAGAAAATTTACTCTTAAACGTAATTTTCTCAAATATGCTTTTATGTTATCATCAAGAATTTTGGGGTATATTGTATGCCATATAGGAATTAAATTTGAACCTAATAAAGTCAAGACAACCTTGGAGATGTTATTATAAGAATATCTTTGCCAAATTCATTATTTATTAAGATAGTTCATGTTTTTTTGATGATTGATATCAAATCTATCAAGCACATTTCAACTATTTGCGAAGTTGACGAAGAATATATTTTCTTATAAAATTAATGGGATAAATATTGTCATGAAACTTTTGGCAATATCAAGAAATATCAGTTAAGCCCGCCTGTTTTAGTAGCACTAACTCCAATGAAGCTTCTTATTTTATGTAGTTATGTGCTAGACCTAACTTTGGATTTTATCATTTGATTGCCACCTTCAAAAGGTAAGATAAACATTACGTTTGTAATTGATTGGCCAACCAAGTATTCTTTTCTCCCACCATTATTGTTGCAGAGTTTGATCACTATCATTGTGGCATTTCTTCTTCACAAATTATGCTGACATCATGATATCTCAAAAACAATTTTGTTCAAGCGTGATTGCATCTTCATGAGCCATTTATGGAATGCTTTATTTAAAGTACTGGGCACCCAACTGTATTATGCTATCATCTGGAAACTTATAACTAATCTAAGGTGACAAAGGGGACAACTGAAAAAAATGAAATAAATTTTGCCTTGGCATGTCACCCTATTACGCACTTTATGACCACACACCACTACCTATCCATCTTTACATTGGTCATTACTTTTTCGAGGTTACCGCCCTTGACTACAGCAACATGATGTTGTCTGGCGAAATCTACAAAAGCTCTTTATCTAGACCCAAAATCAAATGCAACCAGCTGATAAACACTGATGTTACCTTCAGTTAAAATTCTGGGGTCTCGTTCTTGTTAAGCTCCATTCTTATCATGAAACTTTGGTTCGAAACAAACGGTATTTTAAGTTTTCTAGAAGATAATATAAATCATTTGTGATGCATTAAAGATTTGAGATTACAGCAAGCAAATTGGGTTTACTTCTTCAATCTTTAAAATTCCCTGCATTTTAATTTTCTTTGTCGAAACCTTACATGGAAGATGGACATTACACTTTTTCTCCTCACTGCTCTATTAATGCTTAATGCTGGAATTGTGCAATTGACATGAATCCTTATGCACCACTAGTTATTCTCTAGGAGTTGTTGACACAGCTCAAATTCCCAATTTCCCTTTTGATATATATATTTTTTAATTTAGTCACTGAATGGTCAAAATCTAAAATTTTCTAAGTGTTATTGATTCTTCCAAATTTAGCATAGTTTGCTTGAGTGTAATTTATTCTTTGTTACAGTAATTATTGTTGTAAGTATGCAAATTCAAAGTTAATGCCTTTTAAGGAAATTTAAAATGAAACCATTAATCCATGGATTCATGATGATAATTTAAGCCGGCAATGCTAGAGATCCAGGGTGGCATTTTGAGTAATTTAAATTCACATTTGTGAAATCTGAAATTTGGTATATGAATAATTCCCCATAGCTTCACAAAATTAGGCATGCATATTATGAATTTGATTTGGAGTAACGTTTTTCCTTTCTTATGGTTTCCTCATGGAAGGGTAGCAGAATATAAAAAGTAAATAATGATGAGGCAATTATTTCTTCATTTTCTCTATTATGTTTCACTTTTGTTTTTATCCTTCGTCATTGTGACTTGGCATTTCATTTTCAGTACACAGTAGCTGGTCAGGAGGGGCCCCCAGTACTTTTCGTCCATGGTTTTGGAGCTTTCCTTGAGCACTTTCGTGAAAATATCTCTGTTATGGCCAAGAGTGGACACCGAGTTTGGGGAATTACACTTTTAGGTTTTGGGAGGTCTGAGAAGCCAAATGTTTTGTATAACGAACCCATGTGGGCAGAATTACTGAGAGACTTTATAGTTGATGTTGTGAGAGAACCAGTTCACCTTGTTGGAAACTCCATCGGGGGTGTGCCTTCATTTTTCCTCAATTTAACATGTTCCTAAATTAATGGTTGCCAAATTTATGGTTTTTGAGGATACTGCTATCTCAATTTCAGGCTATTTTATAGCTGCAGCAGCTGCTTTTTGGCCTTCCTTGGCCAAGTCATTGGTCCTTGTTAACACAGCTGGTTCAGTGGGTCCTAAATATTTACATATGCAATTAAATGAGGTAAGGTTCCTTGGGCTTATTTCTACTACATGTTTACAGCTAAATTCACTATATTGATGCTTTTTTGTTTCATCAGCAGACTATTTTTTTTTAGAGGACCTGCTAATGTATTTGAAAGTATTCTTATTACTCTGATATAATCTTCTTCAATTTTGTGGCCTCTATTTTTAATCCTAGCATGATGAGGGATCATCTAACAAAAGGTTACATTAATTCACCTTTTTTTACCAACTTTCATTTGTATTACATAAACGAAGAATGAAAGAAGAGAGAAATGCATAGTTTATTTTCCTTACAAATGGATTTTTGCATTTATTTTCTCTATGGGAAAATACTATTATGTATGATGGTTGGTTTTGCTTCAGATTGCTTTTCTTTCTTTTTTTTAAATTCATGACATAATGAAATTAGTTAGCTCAAAAAGACAGCCCACATAGAATTACCAGGCTTTGATCCTTAAACTTATTTTGGCAAGTTTTTACTTTACTATTTGATAGTTGATGGGGTGCAAGATGCCAATCAGGTGAGTAAAAAATCAATCACATGGCTCTCTCAATCAAGAGTAAACAAAATCAGACAAAATAAAGAGTTTCCTTATTCGCAATGCTGCAAAGAAGGAAATATTATATTTGCATGAAATCTTTCCTTTTAGCTGAATATTTAGATTAAGAATATGTATTAGTTAAGTTAGCTAAAATAGATTATATAGAATATTATGTACCTAAAATAGATTGTACAGACTATTATTTATTGGAATGAAAGCGAAGGAAAAGACATTCGGCCTATTTGCTCAAAATATTGACATGGTATCAGAGCTTGAATCGGTCTGAATCCTTGGTATTCTTTAGCTTTTGTTATCGTTCGCCGGCATCTTCGACTGCTTCCATGGTCCTCGCCGGGAGCTATCGTTCTTGTCCTTGTTTGAGTTCTGCGACATCTTCATCCACCTTCATCGGAGTCCAAGGAAGCCCGCTACTCCTCTGCCTAGCCGGATCCGCTCTGCCCAAATATCTTTGCTTCGATCTCGACAGCTGCGATCTTCTCATCCCGTTTCAAGCGAAACTTTGATTTTCTTTGCTTTTTTTTGGATCTCTTAGTTTTTCTTTGGCTTTGGACTCCTCTCCCGATTTAAGGCACTGCACGATTTTATTTAGGTTGATTTAGATCAACGATTTGGATTTTTTTTTGGATATCTTGGCTTTCTTTGATTTTTGGTTGATTTTGATCAACGACAATTCTATTTAGAATGTCTTCTGAAATATTAGCTATCAGATTTACGGGAAATAATTATGTCGTATGAGAATTTTAGCTCAGAATGTTCTTAAAAAAGGAGCTTTGGGGCCATATTGATGGGTCTTCTCCAGCTTCTACTAAGGCAAAAGATATTGGTCAATGAGAAGCAAATGATGCTCGAATTGTTTCCTGGATTTTGGGATCTATTGAGGCTCACATAATGAACAATTTACGATCTTTTGGCACAGCTAAAGAAATGTGGGAATACTTGAAGCGCGTTTACAATCAAGATAATTTTGCGAAACGCTTTCAATTGAAACTTGACATGAGTAATTTGTTGACCTCAATTTTCGTGAGGTCTAGTATTTCTCGTAGGAGTTAGGATCTAGCCTTAGGGGTCTTCCTGCGACTATCTTAGAGCCTTAGAAGTGGGACCCGTCTCGTTTTAGTTCGACCCGCTTCCGTCCATTTCTGGAGTTTCGCGTGTGTGGTATCAACTTCTAGCACTTAGAAGGACGAAACCAACATGAGGAAACCCAAAAGGGATTCCCTATAGGTACTTTCCGAGCCTTAGGGTGGCCTTCTGCACAATTCGTACTCCTGCACGCACCGGATTCGCAATTCGGAGAGTCGACGTAGCCGATCGCCGGA